ACTTGAACAAGAGGGGCTATTGAAGGGAACTAGCAGTACTGACCTCTTGCCGTCATAACAGTAAGGAAAGAGTGCCCGTAAAGACTGGCCGACAAATATCTTTTGATACCCGAAGTCACATTTGCGACACTCATATAACCTTTAATGAAAACAATACAATTATTAAAAGGCATTCTCACAATCATTAGCATGTCCAAATGTGCACTTATAGACATCTAGGAAAATGCTCTAATTCACACGAGTGGCTACCTTCAAACCATTGTACCATTGCAAAGCTATCTCTTTAAGACATATAGGAAATACACACAAATGCTAAATGTCATCATAAGAATGATAGGTAACAATTACCATAAAGTGAATAAATCAATTGTATATATGATCCCCAAGATTCCTATGAAAGAACTCCAACCATTAGCAATAAAAGGAGGAGGCACTATACCATATATCATGAATGCTCTATTTGCTGAATTTGATTATTCAATTGCAACCACATAACTCAAACAATTACACCAACTATTGCTCCAAAGTCAAAAAGGAAGAGGTTACTATTTTGCCATGAAGATAAATGAAAACAAGAAAAACAAAAGAGAATAGATTAATAAGCTATATAAAAAAAGATATTTAAACAATATAAAAGCTAGATCTAAATCAAAAGCATAAATCCAAATACTCCTCAAGACAATCAAAATTACCTCCCATTTCTACTAATGTAAGTGTATGGAATATGGAAATGGAAGATATATATATATATATATATAAAATTAGCCTAAAAATCTTAATTTATATATAGGAATGAGTAGTCTAAATTGAAATTAATGTGATAGCTATCAAAATCCCACTACATTAATATTTCGCAACTTTTAAAGATTTAAATTTAAACTTTTAAAATTTTATATCATTGTATTTTATTGATACCTCTCAAAATAAAGAGAGACAATTATCATTCTTTATTTGGATTGTCTAGGAGTTGAGATTGCCTTTGTAGCCAGACACTATAAACTTTTTCCTTCCAATTGTCAATCACAAATTCGCATTAAAAAAATGCTTAACACTTTGTCTTTGGTTTGCAGGCAAAACTGAGTTTATAGTTTGTTATAAGCATTTGCTTCTTATGGAAGAAATACATCAGTCATTTTCCTAAGCTCACCACATATCATGGCCGACGTTTCGCTGACAAGGTCATGGACTTTATCCACCATTAAACTGCGCCCCTGTTTATCCCAGACATCGACAAAAAGCTTCGTGGCTGTGGCTTTCAGGCTTTCAAGCGACTGGTGCGACAAATTGCCCATTTTCCGCCGGTTTGCCACACTCTTGCTTGAGCTACCTAGCTTTCTATCTGCAGAGCTTTCCTGGCCTTCTTGAACAGTACCATCGGATGAAGCTTGCGTCAATCTGGGCTTCCTGTCACGACTTTCCAGCCTACAACACAAAGTAGCTGTGAGTAGCCAAAAAACGAAAGAAACGAGCATACCGTCTCAACTCATGAACCCAGCACTCCATAAGATCTTGAAGAGCACCGGCCTGAGCCAAAAGCTGATAACGAAACCACTGGCTCCGTCTACTCGATTTCCTGTTCAGCTTCTCACGGAGGAGCTCCATCACACACTTGAGCTCCAAGTTCATGTCTAGACCGCTTGTGTAAAAGCCTTTGCATGCCTTGAGTGCCACAGCATCGAGGCCTCGTACTGTCCTGCTCGCGTCGTCTGGACCATTCTCTTCTGTGTCTGGTTCAAGGGCGCGTCTACGAGCCGATTCCAGTGCGTTTTCGTTGGCATTACTGCTGTTGTCCACTTTTTCGTCCACTTTCTCGTCGGTGTTGATAATAGCGTGAGCCACTTCTTCTGTATCACCTCGTGTTGCCTCTTCGTTCTCGACAGTTTTCATCACCCAGAGTCCACTGTAAGGATTCTCGAGATATAGGCTCGGACCGGCGTTTAGTCTCAGAGTTGCTTGTCGAATAGCCATGAAGTGCGGAGAGTTTAAAAGCTGGTGACCACAGAGACGAACCGCGTCAAGAGTTGGACACCGTTGTTTCGCTGGTTCCGGAGGGGGTGCAATAGGACCGCTTTGGCTCGCAGCAATGCTCGCTTCTTTTGTTGTCTCTGGAGGATCTACAGTTTCTATTTCAGTCACAGACGTTTGCTTTGTCGCTGTTGAGAGATCAAGGGCGAGAGAATCCGCTGCACGGTCCAAAACCTCCATGATTTCGCTCTCCGTAGGCACTTGAACTTCGACGCATGCACGGTGTGTTAGCGTAGACATTGAGCTCGAGGTCGGAGCAGAGAAGAAACTCAAAACGTCAGACGTAAGTTGTTGGTCGTCACAGGTCGCCTGCATTAACAGACATTGCAATGAGCACAAGAGCGAGCACAGAGCGGCTTACCAAAAAGAATACAGGACGATCTGAAGGTAATGACCGAGTTTGCTGCAAGAAGGTTCCCCACGCTCTAGACGAAACAAGAGACTTTTCTTCTTCATTTCCAATTTCCCACTCTTGTTCCAAAGCCCACGACTCCACTCTCGGCATAAACACGACGGATGGAACAGCTCTTGCCTCGCCTGAAAATATAAAGTGAAGTCCAGTTATAATGATGCCAGAAAAAAACTTACTTAGAATCTGAATAAGCCCCTCCGACACTTCTCCTGACCCTGCTTGGATCATAGTTTGCAAGCTCAGTAGAAAAACCTGCATGCAAGACTGAAAGACGTGTAGAATCGATGCTGCCACCAAACTCTTCCCATCTCCTGGAGTGCCCGTTAGTAGTATCCGCAAGCTGTCCGTCTTCCAGGCGTTCCCCAACTTTTTCATCAATATCGTTTCGACGGCAATATTCCCATCCACATCCTCAAAGTCGTCACCAGCAACTATCCCAGCTCCCTTACAAGCTATCTCCACCTCTTTCAATATCGCTGGCGACCACGAGGTTGCAGTATCAACCAGCTTCTTTTCCTTGACGAAAGCAAGCGGCTTTCGCAACTGGAAAGGAAGCGAGAACCTGCCGTCGGACTCGAGATGGGATAGGACGCGTAGAACGGGTCTTAGCAGGACCGGAACTAAATACCGCGGCAGTGGCGAGATTTGTATCTCGCTCAAGGCACTTCCGAGCAATCTTCGAGAGCATGGGGGTCCAGCCTGAGCTAGTGCAGCGAACCAATCCTCCGCTTGAATATGCAAATCCGAAAGTTCAGTCGATTCTCTTGACGGAACGCTGAGAAGATCCTGAAGGCAGACTGTTCTCTTCAGTGCAACCATAGCAGCCTGCGCGCACAAGGCTTGCAAGTCCGCTCCAGCAAACCCGACTGTGGATCTCGCCATTAGTGACAGCACCTCACGGGAAGGCCCGTGCTTCCATGTCTTCGTATGGACTCTCAAAATGGCTTCTCTATCCGCAACCGAAGGCAGAGGAAAAAATATCTCACGGTCGAAACGTCCAGCTCGCCTCAGTGCTGGATCAAGGGAGTCTGGACGATTAGTAGCCCCTATGACCACCACCGAGCCCCTCGGGCTGAGACCATCCATCAAGGCGAGTAGCGTGGAAACAACTGAGCTGTGCGTTTGATCCTGGTTTCTCGTTCGCTTCGGAGCAAGTCCATCGATCTCGTCGAAGAAGATGATGGAAGGCTGAGACTGCTCCGCTAGCTGAAACAGTAAGCGAAGCTGCCGCTCGGAGTCGCCAACGTATTTTCCCAAGCAGTCTGCTCCCTTCCGAGAAAAGTACGATATCTTCTGCTGGCCGCGAGCACAAGCGCCTAGAAGAGCTCGCACAACAAGTGTCTTGCCTGTACCAGGGTAACCATGCAGAAGCACCCCACGAGGTGGCACTATCCCAACTTTGTGGAAGATGTCCGGGTAAAGCAACGGCAGCGTTACCATCTCCTTCAAGCACTGCACTACGTTCCGGAGACCACCGATAGATTCCCAGCCTTCGTATCTAAACGCATCACCCTGTGCCGTTGAACTATCACCCCCGAGCACTACCGGAGCTAGCCGAGCAAGATCGCGATGCAGTCTCTTCTTCTCACGCTTCAGAAACTCATCGTCCTCGGCATTCTCCGCAACTTTGGTCTCTTTGAAGCTTTTTCTGGAAAGCTGGTCGTCGATCATGCACTCCCGCAGTCTCTTTTTGTCTTGCAGAAGAAACAGCTTCACGTGTTCGGCGCAGGACATGAGGTAGCGCTTGTGGTTGAAGCTGCAGCCAGATTGTCGAGCGCAAGGCTGAGAGAGGAACGATGAATGATCGCCGCAAAATACTAGAAGTTCTTACCAGATGATATGTCCGAGGGCAGCGAGCAACTCGACAACCGATCGTAGCACCAGGCTGCTTGCAGCGACTGCATTTCAGAAATCTTCCTCGTCGAAGAGCAGCTTTTACGTTTTTCAAGCATCCAACACCAAGGAAATAGACCTATGAACAAGAGAAAAAAAATTTCTTTGAGAAAAAGTACTATGTATGCTCACCTCGGGACTCCACACTGCGCATTCCTGATGAATCCACACCGCGGCAACGCCCATCTTGTCACAGATAGGCCCCAACAATCGTCCTAATCCACCTCTTCCCACAGTGCTATCTCCACCGGCGACTATCGCCGTGGTATTAAGCTCTTCGATCGGCTCACTACCCCGACCGCACAGCTCGCACCTTCTTCCTTCCACAGCAAGCGGCTCCTCGATCCTGGTGAATCCAAATGCCCTGGCCGAGGAATCGCTCGCCTGGAGCGAGCTCGTCGCTTCCTCTGTGCTCTTGGAAGCGATTGCGTTACCTCTTCCTTCCAATCCCGCTGCTGGATCTCCATTATCCATTGCTGGCGATGTCTCTGCTGCTGCTGGATCTTCCCGGACCGGATCGCCATCGCGATCCTCCATATTTTCTGGCCGATGCTCCACTCGCGATAAACGATAAACCCTAAAATGACGAGGTGACAGAATATCCGTCAGACATATTCAGTCACGATTTTGGTGTAAACGGGAAGGAGGGAATATTCTATCGTGCCGCATTGACCTATCTAGCTAAAGGCGTCACGTCGAAGAGAAATTCGAGCTTTCTCGAGGAGCGCTCCGGTTAGTCTTTTCGAAATCTCACCATGCTCCTGTTGAATCGATGATTTGAGCCTAGGGCGGGCGTCTATCCCGTGAATCGATCCTCAGCTCTTCTTTCTTGCAAGATGGACAGCTTAGAATGGCTGACAATCGGATCGCGGCTCTGGACAGGTATTGATCAACCGAGAGGAGGCTTTCATCCCCAAATCTGAGTGATTTTGTAGATTTTCTCTCTGTGTTGCCTGGCTGATCGGTGATTTTAGGTTCGCTCGATCGTCTCCAGTGGAAAACTGGTCCTCTCCTGGAAGATTGACAAAGAATGCGTGCTTGACGGATTTTCTCTTGGTACTTAAACTCATCGTTTCTCATTTTACCTATTGGCCTCTTCGTTTGAAGAACTTCATTTGTTTTCTCCAGGGGGACTTTTTTCTATGGCGGCTGTTGGCGACGCGAGCTGCGTCCCAGATACCGAGTTCGACTGCCGGAACAAGCCCGAGGCGCTGAAGCTCAAGGCCGCGGCGATGGTGGCGATTCTAGTGGCCGGAGCTTTTGGCGTTGCGTTGCCTCTCGTTGGTCGACGGCTCAAGGTGATAAGACCAGACGGGAACGTCTTTTTCCTCGCAAAGGCCCTGGCGGCAGGGGTGATCCTGGCAACCGGTTTTGTTCACATACTACCCGACGCAATGGAGGCGCTGACAAACCAGTGTCTCGCGGAGGTTCCGTGGAGGAAGTTCCCGTTTGCGGGCTTCATTGCGATGATAGCAGCTCTGGGAACTTTGGTGGTAGATTTTGCGGGGACCGAGTACTTTGAGAAGAAGCACGCCAGTAAGAAGCAGGCAATCTCGGAGGCGATAGGCAGCGAGCACGACTCGATCTACGCAGCTGCTTCCAGCGATCCGGAACACGGAGGAGTGAATGGAGGTGCCAGTGGAAGCAGTGAACGAGCGAACCAGATGCACATTGTTGGTATGAGAGCTCACGCCTCGTCTCACAGGCACAGCCATCCGGAGGGACACCACTCGTGCATGGACTCGACTCACGCTCACTCTCACGGCCATGTCGGCCACGCTCACGGAACTCCCGAAGACGAACACACGACTATTAGGCATGTTGTGATCTCGCAGGTACTCACCGTTTTAAGTTTCTCTTTTTTCGTGACTCTGTGACATTGTGACTTTGTTCGCAAGGTTTTGGAGCTTGGGATCGTTACGCACTCTGTCATCATCGGGTTATCTCTCGGAGTTTCGCAGAGTCCGTGCACAATCAGACCGCTGCTCGCGGCTCTCTCATTCCACCAGTTCTTCGAAGGCTTTGCTCTCGGTGGCTGCATTTCTCAGGTGAGTGTGAGATCAATCTTTCTCGTAAGTGAGCTTTTGTATTTTGGTTGGCAGGCCGGTTTCAAGTCGTGGTCGAGCTCTTGCATGGCGTTCTTCTTCTCGGTCACGACCCCGCTCGGCATTGGAATGGGCATGGGGATATCGGAGATTTACAAGGCCAACAGTCCCAAGGCTCTCATCATGGAAGGCTTCTTTAACTCGGTCTCGGCGGGTATTCTCGTGTACATGTCGCTCGTAGATTTGATAGCAGCCGATTTCATTAGCAAGAGGATGAGGTGTGACCGCCGCTTGCAGCTCATGTCCTACTTGGCTTTGTTCACAGGAGCGCTAGCAATGTCATCTCTGGCTCTTTGGGCGTAGACGTGGTTCCTCGTGTCATGACGTGGATAAGCCATCGTGGCATTTGGATTTAGGGTTTGTAGTAATGTCTCTGGAGGGCTCAATTGGAGGAGCTCACAATGTGGAGCCAGCGGCGGTGGCGGGGTCGGATCGATGGTCCGCGGCGCTGAGCAATGTCTCGCAGATTGGCGGCGTTGTGGAATCGCTCTCGGGATTGCTGCTGCACAAGGCCGTGTACATGGACGAGGAGGCTTTCGGGCATGCCGCCTCGAATGCTCGTCAATCCCGCAATGCCGTGGTACGATCGTAATTCTCGCGAGGAAGGAAGTTCTCTTGTAGAGATTTGTTTTGTCTGTCCTTCCCATCTATAGGCCCAGGAGAGGAGAATCCGTGCGCTGGAGAAGGAGCTGGATTCTGCCATTGCTGCTGCGCGCCAGGCTCGGGTAGAGAAGAAGCGTGCCGAGTCTCTGCAGCGAGCGGCTGAGGCTCACTGTCAGGAGGTGCTGCAAGAGCTTGAGAACACAACAAGTATGTTATCTTTGGTTTTTTGGTTTGCAACAACAGGCTTGGGTTGTTTGTAGAGGTTTTCAAGCTGCATTTGGAGGAGTTCAGGAAGAAAGAGGAAGATCTTACCAGGAAGGATTCCGAGATACAAGTGTTAAAGGCAATCATTCAAACAATGACAAAAGCGTAGGTGTTAGTTTTTACAACAATCAGGATAATATTCTGATTAGACTAAGACCTGCCTTAGTCTAGTAGTAGTATGTGCAAGAGCTGATGCGTGGCTGCTAGTAAAAATTCACTCGGGGATTGTCAATGTAAAGCAGAAGTTGCACTCAAAACTAAAATGTAGTACTACCCAGACTGATGACCATTTGCAAATGGTGAGTTCATCTTCTTCATTACCTTATTGCAAAGCCTTTACTTTTTCTTAATCCACAAAATTAAACATCTCTGCAAGCTTCCACCTAGCTTATGTTAGCTTGCCTTGTAGCTTGTTAGGTTGATCTTTGTCAAGGACTTTTGTATGCACACCATTGACAAGCTTTTTCTGTGCTCACCAATGAGAGCTTCCAAATTCTGGCCAATTGTCTAGCTGCCTCCTTGCTGGTTAGCTCTCTCTTTGGCGGGATCCATCAGACTCCCATGTTCACCGTTCATGAAATGGTGAGCATGACATGGGGCTTGGTGAGCAGGCCAAAGCCATTGTTGCCCCCATGGATGGGCACCTATCCTCTTGACGACCTGAATATGACTGCTATCTACACTTGGAAAGGTGTTGGTTCATGTTTGCTGGAGCAAGTTCAGGAGGCCTCCAAGGAGTCCTGGAGGACCTGGGATGCCACTGTACTGAAGCAAGCTGGTTGATGGAGTTTGTGTTAGTGACTTATTCCACCTTGAAGTTTGATAGTCTTCTAGAAGTATCAAATCACCATAGAATTAATTGATTCGATTGTCCTTTGTTTTGGAAACTTTATATATGTGCAACATTATTAAAGTTTAGATAGAGTATATTTGCAAGGAAGGCTATGTCGTAAGACTAAAGTTATCAGTAGGTGTTTGATTGCATCAGTAATCACCTCCTCTTGGAAACATGAATTTTTTTGTGATCAGGAGTAATAGATTGCCCAGTTTGTTATTAAGCTATTTTAGATATGTTTTCTGAACTTATATCTACGAGCAATAAAAGGTTTTGTGAAGATCCTAAATGGCTTTATCTAAAGTTTACATTTTGAAATTCCTTTATTTTTTTCATAGCTCACCACTCATTGCTTTTATTGAGGCTTTCAGCCTCAACTGTAGTTCCACTCCCCCGCACATACTCATACACTCATAATTCCAAACTTAAATGCAAAATACTAGCAAGATGAAAGAATATTCTAGGGACTTGAATATTCCTTACATGGAAGCTGGAATCTAAAGCTAAGAACTCCGTGAAAACAAGGTGATAATGAGCTAATACAATTGGTCATTAGTGGGATACACTAGACTCTAGCAAGCAAGAAACTACATCTAAGATGCTCCTATGTGCTAGAATGTAATGCTTAAAGAGGGTAATTACTGAAAATTATAATTTATAATTTCACCCTATACTTTATAGTGATTTACCATTGAAGTGGAATTTAAGTTTTAGGACCTTGGGTCACTGAACAAAGGGATAGAGTTTAAACAATCAAACAGAATCTAGTGCTTTTTCGGTATATTAGTAATTTAACATGAGAATATAAATATCCCACCTGGTAAGGAGCCATATCACCCCCTTTCCTTTTTATATGAAAGCACGCTTTGGGTTTTCACCCCAATCTCAAGAATTAGTCTTTGGGACAATATTAACATTAATCTTACTAACTCAAAGTGTAACTTTAAGTTGCTAATATGCCTTATTTATGAGCCCAAATATAAACTTGTGCAAATGGTACATCTCAAATCCATCCTATGAGCTTAAACATAAAATCATATAATATGGTACAAAATGGTATATGCCAACATCTATACCCAATATAAAGCCATAACAATTAAACATGTATCCACTTGGATCTTTATTTTCATCTCTGCATATGCAATGAGATTAGTTGGCTAATCTCATTAGATAATACTCGCTAAGACTAATTCTTTGATATTAAATATAGTGTACATGGTTTTCACATTATACCTATAGTAATTTACTATAGGATAACTATAGAGTGGAACCTAAGTTTTAGAGCCTTAGGCATTAAACAAAGAGACAGATTCAAACTCCTAAGCATATAGCTAAAAAACAAAAGAACAAAAGCATAGAGCAATTTTTGATCATAAAGTCAAGGAGTGAAAAAACAAGAGCATAAAGTAATATTAGAATAATTCTAGAGCTTTCAGCATCTTAATGCCACATACAAAACAGAGCCAAATATATATTCATTTGGATTTTCATTTTCATCTCTATATATGCAATAAGATTAATTGGTTAATCTTATTGGATAGTACTTGCTAAGACTAATTCTTTAATATTAAATATAGCACACATGCTTTTCACCCTATACCCTATAATAATTACTATAAGATAACCATAGAGTAAAACCTAAGTTTCAGGGCCTTAAAGCATATAGCTAAGGAATAAAGGAACAAAAGCATGGAGCAAGTTTGAGCATATACCCAAAGAAGGAAAGAATAAGAATATTAGAATAATCTTAGAGCTTTTAGCATCTTAATACCAAGACTAACATGCAAAATAGAGCCAAATACACCCCCCCCCCAAACCTACATTAAAGCATGTTTTGGGATTTCACCCTTGTCTTGGAGTTAGTTTCTAGGACAATCTAAAAAATTTACTATATATAAATGATGTTAAATTGCGAATCTAGACATGAGAATAAGACCATTATATTCAAAATATTCTCTACATTCTGTAAAAATATTTAATTGGTAGATCTAGACACTTTTTATAAATAACTAATAGGATTGAAAAGGGACTAATGCATCAAGCATGATATTAAGGGTGTCTTAGATATAGTAAACTATCATTTAGTGAATATTAAGGGACCAAGTTTAATATTATAAAAGTTTCTCAATACTAGCAAATGCAAAACAACAATATAAGTTTCTCTTCATCATGTCAAATATATTTGATTAAATAACAACTTAAGATTTCCTTAGTGCCATCCAATCTAAGTGCATATGTGTTGACGAGCTTCTCAATTAGCTTGGGTGGAGACTAGTAAAGGGAACTGACAATACTAAATTCCTTTCATTAT